CTAGGAACATTTTGAAGTCTCCTTCTTCATTCTTCTCTTGGGATTTTTTTTTTTTTCATTTTTCTTTTTTCTTTTTTTTGTTAGAGGGCTCGTGTGCTCTCCAGAAAGACAGAGACAGAAAGTGAGAACTCACCCCCCGGGGGGATGGCCACACTACAATCCCTTCTTCTCCATTCTCCTCTCGGGATCTTGGGCACACACGCACAAGCACCCAGCGTGAGTTTACGCCGCCGGGTCCGGGACTCAAACCACGGTTGACTACATAGAAATCCAGTGACATAGCCATTACGCTAACTGCTGGTCCCTTCTCTTGGGATTTTGAGCACGCATGTATACACATCTGGTGTGAGTTTCAAGCCTCCGGGTCCAGTACTTGAACCACAGTTGGCCATTTAGAAGTCCAACACCTTAACTACTATGCCACTTACTGGCCCCAATAAATAAATTATTTTTCAAAATTTCTGTCATAACTCCTTTGATATTTATTCAATTGATTAATGTATGTGAATTAATATAAATTAATATATGTATAAATTTGTTGATGAATATATTACTATATACATAAATATAATTTTATATACTTAAGTTTCATAAAACATTCTTGCTGTGTGTGATGCTTAGATATTTTCACTTTTAATTAGGGAATAGGTTTTATTCATTTTTAAATAAGTACTACATGCAGTACTTAAGTTAGAAAGATGAAAGGGTGATTAAAGGGCCAAAAATTAGTCTCCTGGGACCAGCAGTTGGCATAATGGCTATGTCACTGGACTCCCATGTAGTCCACCATAGTTCAAGTCCTAGACCCGGTGGCTCAAACTCATGCCAGGCGTATATGCATGCATGCCCAAGATCCTGAGAGGAGAATGGAGGAGAAGGGATTGCGGCATGGCCACCCCCACCCCCCCAGGGTGGGGGGATGATTCCTTACTTTCTGTCTCTGTCTCTGCGTTTCTGGTGAGTGCACGTGCCCTATAGCAAAAAAAAAAAAAAATCAAAAATTAGTCTCCTCATCTCTTTCGCAGAGACCCACAATCTACCTGCCCTGAAGGCCTCTGCTGTTACAGCTTCATGTATCTGCCTGCAGATACATGACTAGAACTCCTTAGATTCAGACAGATTGTTTTTTCTTTCTTAGGTCTTTGTCATAGGGTGTTTGTACTTGCCAAAGAGAGGAGAAAGAGAGGGAAAGTAAGAAATCATCCCCCACAGGAAAATGGCCATGCCACAATCCCATCTTCATTCTCTTGGGAGTGGGCATGTACACACATGTGTCCAACATGATTTTCAAGCCACCAAGTCCAGGATTTTGAACCGTGGTTGGCCGTGGGGGAATCCAGCCCCTTAACCACCATGCCACCTGCTGGGGCTTGCAGTGTGACCAGGACCCATTGTGGGTGCTTTCTCGTGTGCACACGCTCTCTAACAAAACAATTTAAAAAATA